TTTTTTTCGGCCCAAAACGCCTTACTATACATGGTCGTTTTTTGCGGCCGAAAACGCCTTACAATACATGGTCATTTTTTTCGGCTAAAAACGCCTTAGTATCCATGGTCGTTTTTTTTCGGCCCAAAACACCTTACTATAAATGGTCGTTTTTTTCCAGCCAAAATGCCTTACTATACATGGTCGTTTTTTCCGGCCAAAAACGCCTTACGATACAGGGTTGTTTTTTTCCCGCCAAAAACGTCTTACTATACATGGTCGTTTTTTTCGGCCAAAAACGCCTTACTATACATGGTCGTTATTTTTCGGCCAAAAACGCCTTACTATATATACATGGTCGTTTTTTACGGCCAAAAACGCCTGACTATACATGGTCGTTTTTTTCAGCTAAAAACGCCTTACTATACATGGTCGTTTTTTTCGGCACAAAACACCTTCCTATACATGGTCGTTTTTTTCGGCACAAAACGCCTTACTTTTCATGGTCGTTTTTTTTCGGCACAAAACGCCTTCATATACATGGTCGTTTTTTTCGGCCAAAAACGCCTTACTATAAAAACGACCATGAATAGGTAGGCGTTTTGTGAATTGTTCCTTGGTGTGACTAATTGTGCGGAGAAGAGGATCAGGAAATGGATGGCCACACATTTTTGAGAATGCAGAGAAAGGATGGAATCAAACTCTGCACCTCCGCTGCGCAGGACCAACGAATTAACCATTGGACTACCAGGCAGGGAATGAGTGCTTTATACAGTATTGTTCCTCGGTGTGAGCGTGAAGTTGCACGGGGAAGAGTTTCAGAAAATGGATAGCCATGCATGTTTTTGAGAACACACAGGAAGGCTGGAGAGGGAATCTAACCCTGCACCTCCGCAGCACAACTGCCAACGCAGTAACCATTCAACTACCAGTCAGGTGACGAACAAACACTTAACATTATCCGTTGATGGGAGTGTGAACACGAATAGTGCGGAGGAGAGAATCAGAAAATGCACGGCCACGCACATTTTTGAGAACGCACAGGAAAACCGGAGCCGGATTCGAACCCTGCACCCCTGCAGTGCAATGCACTAACCATTCAACTACCAGGCAGGTCATGAAGGGTCCCCACGGGTCCTTAAAGTTAATAAAAATCCATTAAAAATGTCCTTAATTTTCAGGGAAAGCTTCTAAAACCAATACAAATCCTTAAAAATTAACCTGTGGTGTTCATTTCATTTTCCCCACCCTTCCAATTAATATTTTTTTTCGGAAAATGCGCCTGTGCCCTTCCCCTCAAACTCCGCTGTCGGGCTACATGCCTTCCTGATTCCCGCTCTGCTTTTCCCGCCGTCTCCAATCAGTTCCGATGATGATCACATGATCACTTCGGTTCATTTCGGGCCAATTTGACAAGTATGTCAAAAGAAGGGTTAGCTGATTGCCCCGAAAAATAAAGATGTGCCCTTCCTTTGGCAGCAATGAATTGAACACCACCTCAGAGATATGTGGCTTTCTGTCCATGAAATCCACCGTGAATCCCCTGCTGGATGGAGAAAAAGTCCTTTGAAAATGGCTAAATTAGCCCTCAAATGTCCTTAAAAGGTCCATAAATAAAAAGCAAGTGGAAGAGTGGGAACCCTGTAGTGGTACACACGCTGGACTTCTGTGCGGGCGGCGTCGGATCGATTCCCACTCGGGGACTGTGAAATCCCTAAACGCTCAAATGGTCGCTGGCAAAGGCTCCTGGCGACCCTACTGGAATGGATGGGTTCAAAGTCAAGATTTTGGTTTCAAAGAAGAGGTAGCATTTCAAAACAGGGCCTCACATTGTAGATTTTTGATAGTGGAGTTAAAGTTTCAAAATAAGGATATGGTCGGATGGAAATTTGGATTCTTCAAACCCGTTGATATCATCCAATAAAACTCAGATATTGTCCCGCGTGACTCTCGGACGCAGCATCAATGAAAAGCGACAGTTTGCTGACCTCTAGTGGTGAAAGCAAAGTACTACTTCCAGCCAGTCGCTTAACCACAGGTGACCTTTTCGCAGTTTTACAAATTAATTGGACTCAATACTCAAGTATTAATAGGTTTTGTTCTACAGTCACATTTTAAATTCGATAAACACCACTTACCAAAAGTGTCTCCTGCTCCCTCAGGGGGAGGAAAATTAGTGTTTCGTACAACTCTGTCCAATCTTTCAATGAAATTATTTTGGATCAAATCAAATTTATTTTTTTTTTCCTGTCATGTCAAAGTAATTAACGGTTTTAAAACATAGAGGGAAAAATAATTACTATTTTTACAACAAAATAAAACGGGATGAAATGGTCAAATGTCTGGATTTATTTATTGTATTTTACAGTACTGTCTTGTTAATAGCCCAATATTTATTAAATAGCGCGTGGAAAAAATTGTGACATTATTGAAATTTCATCCAAAAACGACCGTATATTGAAAAAGCTTCCACAACATGGACAACAGTTAAAAAGAACAAAAAAAACAAAAAAACTAAACAAGAAACCATTTTGTGTTGTGAAAAACTTGAAGGCAACACCACGGCAACGTTTTCACAGTGTGAACTTTTTGTCATCTTATAGACCTTTTCGTCCGACGTTAACCATAATTTCGATGGCACCACTCGTAAACGACCGAGGCAGTGAAAAAAAAGGTGCTACATCAAAGTAAAGTGATTTAAAAAAAGAAACTAGGAGGAACAAGATCGTAAATCTGTTTGATAGCACACATTTACTCCTTTGGTGCCGAAATGAAAAAGCAAGCTATTGTTAGTTGGCAGAATGGACTCACCATTTCCCTCTCGCGTCGGAAGAGGAGGCAGCCATCTTGCGTTGCCAGTGTTACTGAAAACATTTGTTCGATGGAGAAAAAAAATACCGTGTAGGGATTAATGAGAGCCTCTCAAAGACCCAACTTCACTGTTTGCATCAACCATGCAGAGTATATTATCTTAGTTTGGTTGACATTTCGCAGAGAGTTTTGTCCCAGTGGGCTTTTCTTTCATTTCATTGTTGAGGCTGCTGAAAACGGGATGCAATCTTTGAGAAGGACTCGGCGCTACGCCTTAAAAGAGAACATTTACTGTATAATTAATCGCATCCTTACCGATGACGTGTGCATGTAGCTCTTCTCCCAAAATTATTGGTAGAACCGTAACGACACACGCGATGACATTTCGTGCTGGAGACAGAAAATAATGTGAAAGCTCCGCGGATCAATCAATGTACTGTATTCAAGTTGGGCATGTTTAAGGAGTGGCAATGCAAGATGGCTGCCAAAGGTGATTTGGCGGCACTGTGGGTCCATCATATATGTATGTCGGCCGACTAATGCCGCAGATATTTTTGGGGGGACCAACCCAAAGAAAATGTTTTGCTAAATCACTCAAAAACAGCACATTTTCTCGTCGTTGTCAGTTCAGGTTAGCGGTAGTCAATCGCTTTCGGCCGTGGAAGTACCCTGGCACCTCTTGTTCATTTTGAAAAGGTCTATAATGACATCATGTAGTAGTACGAGGAGACACAAAACCCTTTCACAGTCAAATCAAAACATTGAAGTATACTCGCAAAACAAACATATCGGAGTGTATAAAATTCTAAATGTGTCACTGGTTATCGCTTCCGCTCATGCGTGACTTCCCAGAATCTCATCCAGGTTGATGTCTTTCATCCAGTCGTCGTTCCCCGAGCCCGACTTGAGCAGGGAGTCGATGAAGTCTGAGTCTGTGTTAATACCTGGGACCGTGTTGTCTCCCTCGGGCAGGAAGTCGAAGGTGACGCGGTTGGTGCGAGCGCTCTGGTAGCCGCCCGAAGCGGTTTCGGCGAAGTTGCCCACAGCCGGAACCTGCTGCTCCGGAGAGGACTGGTTAATGTTGGCCTGGGTGGGTCTGGACCCGGCATCTCTGATCAGCATCTGGAGGTCTGGCGCCACCTGGTTGGGAGGTCCACCAGGTCTCTGCTGGTACTGATGGTTCAGCGGCAGATCCAGAGTGTCGTTTCGCCGAGCGAGTCCGACGGGCTTCGCGGCCGAGCACCAGCTCACGTTGGTCATCACGGCCCCCGGCACCTGTCCCGCCACCCGGGAGGAATGCGGGTCGGCCGCGGGCCTCGGGTGTGGCCCGCCGGTTCCGTTACTCATCCCGAAGGTGTTCCCTTGTGCGTTGGGGCCCAGGAATCGCACCTTGTTATGGTTTGGCGCTAGTCGGTTAGGACTGGGGAATTGTCCGATGCAGGACGGGGGGTGACAGTCGAAGCGGTGCTCCGACGAGCTCAACTCGGAAGCGGGACCACCGGGAAGGTGGCACGACATGGAATGAAGGTCCTTCTCTGGGACGGCGCTGGACGACTGGGATGGATTTGCACCTGAGCGGATGAAGGCGACCACATGTGAGTCACACATTTTTGAACACATTCGTGATTTGTGAGGGACAACGAATAGCAAGAATCCGCAAATAATTGATGCTCATTCTAACTGCTTTGAAAGAAAAAACAAAGTAAAACCCCCCAAATTTGCAAATATGCGTGGCACAGTGTCCAAAATAAAAGGGTCTGCAAAGACTAAACCACAAACATTGCAGGGGTCCAAATGTACTTTTGGCAAAATGAAGCTCCTCAACGCACTTGAAAGTAAGGTTTTTTTTGTATCAGAATTCCACCACATGATGCCAAAGCAATTCAATAGCTTTGACCCGAGTTCAAAAACAGCAAATAGTTGAGTTTTTTAAGCCTAGAACAGTGCATAAGTTCCCCCCAAAAGTTTTGATTGTATGAGGATAATATCCTATCTTTTTAGGGACCAATCGGGATGGGGATTCAAGTGAACATGTGGGGGAGGGGGGTTGTTTCATTGTTCTATGCAGTAGTCATTTGAGTTTCATTTTTGGGGTGATATGAGAGGCGGAGCTCACCTGGGAAGATGTTCCCGCCCACTACACTTCTTTTGTAATCCGGCGGCGGCCTGGTGAGATGACGGCTGAATTGATCCGGCGACGTGTCTTTCTCCTGCAAAGACCTTATTATTTGTGTGTGTGTGTGTGTGTGGAATTCTCATAAAAGCAAAATGACCTTTCAGGAATTAAAGAATACTGCTCACTGGGAAATATGTGACTTCAAAAAACATATTTTTATTTCCCTATTAACAGTGGCTAACTGATGTCAAATTTTATTTTTGACTGCCTTTCAATGAAGGATGACGAATAAAACGTGTCCGACCAAAAACAAATGCAGGTGCTTACGGCTCTGTGCAGTTGGGAGAGTTGCCTGTGCATGGCGGGAGATTTGGCGGGAGCCCTCAGCGGGTGGGGGGGCAGCGGTGGGCGCGGCTGGCCCACACCCCCGTTTGTGGTCAGCCTCGGTCCAGGGGGCACACCCTGACATCGACAAATGCATTACATTGTTAACACACACAGATATATCAGTTCCATCTATTTTTAAAAATGTGACTGTAGCTGTTCAGAATGTTGTTATGATGTAACAGTGAGGGGCTAAAAACATGCTTCGCAATCCCTTAAGCGTCGTGAGAGAAAAAAAACAATTCTGCAAGCTTTGGTTTTTATATACCCTCTTCATAAGTGGGGCAATAAACAAGTTGGGCCACTAGAGGGAGACATTGTAAAACAAATGTCTTGCTCAGCCTCCACACGCGTTGTTGGTTTGAAGTTGAGACAACGCTCCTTCCTCTGCAGATAAAAGATCAAATAGAGTGAGGGGCAAGCTTCTCCTCTTTCGTTCGTTGCCTGACCCGAAAGGGGAAAAACAATCCCTGAGACAGCAGGGAAAATGTGCCAATGCCAAAACGCTTTTTATTGAGCTTTTACTGCTACGGTCTGGCGTCTATTGGAACAAGTGAGACACACACACACACACACACACACACACACACACACACACACACACACACACACACACACTCACGCACACGGTGCCAATCGACAGACGAGTGTGTCATGTGCAGCAGATCCAAGTCAGCGTGCAGCACGGGAACGTTATATTTTCCCTGGCTTAAAAACCTTAATTTTAAATCATAACCCTGGTCGGCGTGACCCCCTACTTTGAAAGCACATTCCTGGCTTGAACCCTCTTTGAGACCCTAACTTGAAACGCAAATGTTGAATGTCTTATCTTGGAAAGAAATTGAAACCCTAACCCTGGTTTGAAACCCTCCCCTCTGGCTTGAAACCCTAATGTGAAATCATAACCTCAAACATGACCTCTGGCTTGAAACCCGAAGTGGCAACTCTTACCTTGGCTTGAAACCTTTATTTGAAACCCTAACTCTGGTTTGAACCACTATTTTGAAACCGTACCTCTGGATTGAAATGCAAATTTTAAACACTAACCCTAGCTTGAAACTCCAATGTGAAATCTTAACTTCAAACCCTAACCCTGACAGGAACCCTGACTTTACGCAGCTTGCTTTCCCAGGAAACAAGGACTCCCTTCACACACTTCCCTCCCTGCAACTCAGCAAATTTGAAAACGTAATTTTTGGTTTGAAATCCAAATTTGAAACCCTAACCCTGTTTTGAAACCACAACCCTTGTGGGGGAAAATACCCTCATGTTAAAAACGCAAACGTGATCCTTTAACTTGAAAATATGAACTTGAGCCATTAATTTGGAACCCTTACCCTGACGCTGGCTTGAAACACGAACACTTAAAACCCGACCCTATCTTTAAATTCCAACCCTTGTTTGAAACCTTAATTGGACAAGATGAACCCTTGATTGAAACAACAACTGACTTAAACCCTAATTTGAAACCCTAACCCTATCTTGGGAAACTAGAATGTCACTTGTCTATCACAACCATCCGTCTAATGTTACAACAAATCCGACACATTTGAGTGGAGTTCCTCAGGGAACTACACGAGGCCCACTATAGTTTTCTAGATTGATTGAAATCGTCATTCTCAAGATACTTTTGGCCCTACGCAGTGAGCTTGTTCCATCTTTGCTGAGCTCACTTTGGTTTGTACAACCGCGGAACCCCGATGCGTCATGAAGCTCGTTTCCACATTTCCTCCCACCTCTGCCGCCCCCACTCCCGAATTTCTCTTACTCTCGTCACAAATGCAAACCACATGTGGCATGAGCAGGAGCCCGGCGGGCGGCGCAGGCGGCCGACAGCGATTACGGCCCCGGGCCGCCCGGCCTTGCCCGCTCTCACACTGCACTTCCTCAGACGCCGTCCCTGGGGAACGCCTCGGCATCCACACTTGGCCGCAGCTCGCTTTCCCAGGAAACAAGCACTGCCTTCTCGCACATAACACCCCCCCCCCCCCCCCCCCCCCCCCC